GACTTTTCTTTTTTATATGTACAATAGTAAAACTACAAGCAGTGTTATTACTGGTGATATTGCTCTCTCTGAGCTTTGTTTTCTGATTAACAAGAAGCATAAACTCACAAGGTTTTAGGAGGTCAACAATATCCAAGAAAGCAGAGAAATTGAACTCTCTCTTCTGCAATGTGACATGACTTTGAAAAAGGGATGTTTCTTCAGATGTTTGGGTTGGACCCAAATGTATATTTGAAATTCAACACAATGAATGAAAGTGTATGCATTAAAGCAAAGTAAATCAACTTAACTATATTAAAGGTATTTCACATATATAAAACACTAGAAAATTATTCTATTAAATAAAAAAAATTGAACAACTAATCATACATTTAAAAAAAAAACAAAAATAAAATTTTAAGAATAGAAATTGCATTTCTCTGCACCAACTTTTAGACGGAATAATAAGCTTAACATTGTGATACATGTCTCCAAAAATACTGACACTCCTCATGCCCCTCAGACACGCAGCACTCTTATCAACAAGACAGAAAACACAAAACAATATACAAACCCATGTGCAAAAGGGAAATCTATAGCTCCCCAGCTGAGCCTGTGAGTTGAAATGGCCTGCAGGTCTTTTTGTCCGCTCCATGAAGGCTTTGGTCGTCATGTCATGTAGCATCAATCTACTGTCAAAACACCAAACGTCTCTTAAATTCATTAGGGAAACAAGCACATGAAGCAGCGACTGAAACCCGTAAATACCAAGTAAAGATGGGAGCATCCTCAGACATATCCAAGATACAACAAATACTCCGTTCATCTCCCGGTGTCTCTGTAATAGTCGGCTAATTCTCAGGAGCGGTGAGGCAGAGTGCTTGACAACATCATCGACTGTGACAGGCAGATTGTATTTTCACGTGAGCGTGATCGACAACAGATTGCACTGAGCCCAGGCTGTTCCTGTTTGCCCTGGAAATGTGTTTGTGTTTATATTTTGCTTGAAGAGAGGCATTCCTTTCCCTCTCTCCTTTTCTCTCTGTCTATTACCAAAAAAACACACATTTTAAGATGAACCATTCTGCATTTGAGTGAGTGTGCGAGTGTGTCAGAGCCTGTCTGTGTGACACATGCTATAAAGTGACTGCCAGGAGAGGATTAAGAAACAATCCAGGCAAGATCAATATCGGCAAACCACACTTATGTGTTTGACTTAACATCCAGTTGCAGTTTCCCCTGTTCTCTCTACATGCCAAACCCCACAGTAAACTACATTTAGCCGTCGGCCCAACAAGTGCGTGCACACTATGACATATTGTAATTGCATAATTGTGTTGGCAAACTGTAAAACAAATTTTATTTTCCCCACTGGGCTCTTGATGTGACTGTAAAGCTTACACTTGAGCACACACTCAAACACCCTCCTCTGTATGTTAACTCAGTCTTACAGGAGTAGGAGAGAAGGATGAATTGGGACAAAAAAGTTTCAAGTGGAAAAAAACTAAGCATTTCATTCTTTATGTTCTAATAAATATAGTTTGAAAGAGAAAGTTCAAGAATTTTTAAGTCTTACCTATAGTAGACTCAAATAAGCTAACAGCTAGTCTGGGAGGGGCCAGAACCTGAGCAAACATTTAAAAACCATCATCTCAAAAATGTTATTGAGGTTTATGCAAGGGGCATTTCAGGAACCTGCAAGTTGTTTTCATGCTTGCATTGGGTGGTTATTTACATGCATGCCAATAATTATTGACATGTGAAAAAGAGCAAGGATGCTGTGCCCTACCATTGACATGCCTCTGTGAAACACTTACTGGCAAATTAACATGTAAAGTTTCCCCATTACACTATGTACCTGAATAAAAGGTAAGGTACTATTAAAATGTATAAAAACCGTTCACTTAGACTTAATTGTGCACTGCGGTACCGCTTTAGACTTTTACTCCACTCAGAAATGCTCTGAATGTCCTTTATTAATACATGTTTATAAAAAAAAAAAATCAATAATGATGGAATGATCGTATCCTTAATCTCCAATGTAGATAATTATTAACCTCTCTGTAAATAACCATTCAATGTTAATGTGAAAATTGGTACATTTTTCAGCAAATAACTATTTCCATAAACCATAATGATTATGTTGAGATTGGAGTGGCTTTAAGACATTAAAGGCAGGATCTGATTGTGACTCATCTTGGGGAGGCCTTAAACTTCCAGCTAATTTGAATTTATGCTGTATCAAGTTAAAGTTAGATATTCATCGTTTACAACGAGAGCATCTCCCTTGAAAAACTTATATCAATAATCTTTAACATGTTTTTCAGTCAGTTACTGTCTCACAACTTCTTAATTTCCCTTATCCATGTAGCTTAATGCAGAACATCTGCAAAATATGCAGTAAGTCTTTCCTGCTTTGCATTAAGTGTGAGAGCACTGAACAAGAAAGGGCTATGTCTTTATTATAGATTTAAAGTCAGGCACACTTATATGAATATGCAGGAGCTAAAGCTTACATTGTTTAATGATTTTTAACCATTCAAATGTATTCAATTCACAGCCTCCAATTTATTCACATGTCTGCATGTAGTCATTAAGCAAACACTTCCACACACAGACACCCATATTATGTCTTTCTACACACACAAACCCAAATACACTTAGATATTGCAAAATAGAAAAAGATTTTTACTCACTCTATATAAGTATATGTACACCAATACAAAGGCAGTTTCATACTTCCTATCATCATGTTTCTCTACTTTGTTTCTCTTTCCAGGTGCCGTTAAATGACAACCTAAAGCATTGCGATGCAGAAGGAACCTCTCCAATGAGCTGCTGGCAGACAGCGAGGCGAAGTAAGACAGAAGACGAAGGAACGCTGAATGTGGTATAGCACCGGAAAACACCCATACACGTCAACATGTCCTTTACTGAGTCTATGCAGAAGCTGACGTACAAAGAGTGTCTGCAGAGGCTGTAAAAAACTGTTTATTCATTGTTTGACATGCTCATATGTAGTAGTATTGATATCTGCTAGGTTCACATCATGAACCCAGGGTGTCTAACAGACTACGTTATCGATTATCATAGAGGACCGGAGACCAGAGGAAATGCTATTAAAGATTTAAGGGTCAGGTGATGTGAAGGTGGCATGCAGAGTCATCAGACACCAGTGGCTTCGGTTACATGCTGTAATGTCCGCCTGTCAAACAGATTAGCAAGCTTGATTTATTTATCAACCCATGTTCCCCCCATTTCTTACAGTCTTTAACTAGGCAACGAGATTGAACTTCATACCTTACAGAAAGGCAAAGAGTAGGGGCTCATATTGTATGCATTAAGCTCATAAGTGAGAATTTCATGGTTTGGTTTCGATTTCAGGCTCTATATTGATACAACAAAGTACAGCTTCAAACACAAGTGAGGCACGACTGTGTATTAGAGTAAAACAAATATATATTTCTAAAGAGACAGTAGACACTGATCCAGCAACCATAAAATTGGAGCAATGGTTATTCTGATTTTGACTATGTGGGCATTGTGCAGAATATTATTTGACCTACTCTTCAAGGCTAAACTCAATCTGGAATGCATTGGGTCAGCTCCAGTTCAACATCTATAAAATACAGAGACTAGTCAACTCTAAACAGAAAAACTGAACCAGAAGACATATATTTTTGTTTTGCCTTGTAACTTATGAAAACCAAACAAAAATGAGTCTCAGCCAGGAAAAGGAGGTAATTTTTTTATTGTCTTCTCTCATTTTATCCTTGTGAACCCAAAGAAGGCAGTTGCTAAGGGCAGCCTTTATGCTACACATATGAGAATAATAAAACTATACAATAACATTAGGAATTTAACAAGTTAAAAGTCACAGCTCTCTGTCCTATCGCAAGTGGCAAACTTACTCTTCTAATTGACCCTAATGCAGTGGATGTTTGTAGATCATTTCGCTGAGAGAGCTGGTATTTTCCCCAATGCTTGCTGTCTGGTGTCAATGCTTATCTACATGAGATAGCTACACCTAGGAGAGATGGGGAGAGGGTCTGAGAATACAGGCAGCGGTTGGAGACACTTACCAACCAAAGAAAATGATTGTACTCAAGATGGAATGGCAGATCTTATGTTTTATACTTTGTATATAGGACATGATCCTTTTCTCGCATAAAAAAGAACTTTTGAAATTTGCTGTTAATTAACATTAACAGCCTGTGCGTTGCATTAGAAACAGTCATTAAACTTTATAAAGTTTAAAATCTGTTCTGACAGGGAGGAATGTAAATGCAAATGTTCATTGGCTGCTAGCTTTGGCATAATTAGTGTCAATGAACTAGTTAAAGCCACACAGAAATTTAAGTTACAATTCCAGTACACAAAAAACGGCATTGTTAGCCTTTATTAAGTTGATTTAATCAGTCATTGTAGATTAATAATAAATGTACATATATATCCTGTAGTGGACAACAGAACATTTGACTATATCAACACTTCTACCAGATAAAAAAGTTGAGGATGTGAAGGAAACATAATAAACGCAAACATAATACAAACAAACAAGCTTGGTAAAGGTTTAAGTACATTTTCATAAGATTCAAACCGTTCAAAACTAATTTTATAGTGCACAGTGAATGAAATAAAACATGAAAAGTTTTTTTTTGTCTTAACTAAGTGTTGTCTGCAGATTTGAAATATTAAAATTACTGCATAAACTAATTATCAAATTTACAAACTGATATGTTTTCCTAACTTTTAAACAATTCAGCAACAACTATCCTCCACAATTCATGCATAAAAACAGCTTTTTCTCTTTCCTCGCTGTTAGACAGATTATGTTTAATGTGTGATGTGGGGGGGAAATAAAAACAACACTTATTTTCCCACAATTGGCTCAACAACTTTAGCGGCTATTTTAAAGTAGGCTGCTCTCAATTGGTCCATTAGTTTAACTAGACACCAGCCCATCATCTTCCTCTAGTGGTCCTCACAGAGCAGTTAATTGTGTGTCCACCCTATCGGGACTGCCGTGATAATAAAGTATTAAGAGACCATGCCTCGTTCATTAAAGTAGAGTTGGGAAATGTGAGACCGCCCCCTTTCAGGAGTCAAAAAAAGGAGAGAGGGGGGGAAAAAAGTGATTATTGCTCCTCGTAAGGGGAAAGAGTAAAGGTTTCGGACGAGGTTTGTCGGGTAGCGACAGAAACGGCGCTCTCTACACCAATAGATATCCTGTGTTTCAGCAGCACCAGCCTCCAGCTCCAGCCCAGAGTCCCGCTCCGCTCACCGGCAGCTCTAGGAGGGAATAGAAGAAGCGTCCTCAACGCCTCCAGAGAGGCTCTGTCCGTTCACAGAGGGAGGGGGAGAGAGAGAGAGAGGGGAGAGAGAGAGTAGTTTGGTCTGATATTATACAGACTCCTACCACGTACTGTATGTTACTTTTTTTTCTTACCCGGCTCCGTCTTCTGCTAAGTTGCGCTCCTGGATTTTAAGTGCGTCTCTGAGAGCTCCGTCCCCCTCATCAGGCAGCGGCTTCACTCTTCCTGTCAAACAGCCGGGCCAAACAACCGGCGGACGCGCTTGTTGTTTCTCTCTCATCAGCCCGGAGAAGATTTCATTGCAAACAAAAGTAAGTACACGCCGCCTTTACACTTGGCATCAACTCGGACAAAAAACGCAGCGTGATTTAAATCTAGTTTTTTTATTATTATTATTCTAAGGGAAACTTAGCGGCTCAGTTTAGAGGCGCGCTGGTCCTCAACAAAGTGCTCTAACTGCGCGTATCGATTTGTTGTGACCTCCGCCGGTGTCAACTCTACTATCATTACAAGGTGACATCAAATAGCCCCTTATTGTCCGCTAAAAGGAGTCAAACTGAGGCTCTGGTATTTGCTGGTGTTAATGTTTGGGTGACCTTGTGCAGCTTTCTGGTGACCACATGGACAAAGCAACAGAAACTAAAAAAAGTGCCCAAGTAAATATAAAAATATAAATATTACATGCAACTGCTGCTAGTCTTTGTCTGTAGATCTATTTATGTATATATATATATATATATATATATATATATATATATATATATATATATATATATATATATATATATATATATATAATCTTTAAATAACCAAAATTTCATTATTGCAGTACTTTTACCTTCGATTTACATTTTTAGATAGTAAGCATGCCAACTGAGGTCACCACAATCCCTTATCATGCATTAAAAGTTTTACATCCAACATAAATGTTCCTTAAACATTTTTATTTAGGAAATATGACTCTCGAAATTCAACAGAACACAATTTGGTATACTAATTCTGGTGTTAATTTATTTATTTTATTATTTAAAGAGAACAGTTTTGTAAATCAGTCCTTTTGTAGGGTGTTAGTGGTGTTCAGGCTGAGCTGACAATTTCTTCTCTGTGACTTTGTGTTTGAGACTAACTTACTGTTGGCACTATAAGGAGTGTGAAATATATTTACAAGGTGAGCACATTTGAGTCTCCTTTGGCACAACTGAACCTGTTGCACTGAGAGGATTAATAAGGAAAATATAATTAACTTGCAGCAACTTTCACAGGTTGAAGCCTCGGAGTTGAATCAAATCTCCCTTGATGGCTTGCTTCATTTTTGAAGGCTTGATGGCTTGCTTCATGATACACAAAGGAGATGCGTTAATGGTAAATCGTGGATTGTTGAAAAACTTTTGTATATTTAGTATATTTTCTTATGTTTGAACTTTGTGATTAATTACTGGTGGAATTTCATATTATTTTTAACAAAAAAAAATGATTTAGTCATAGAGATAAAAGCCTCAAGCTACACTTTTTGAAAAAAAAAAAATTTTTTTTTTTTTAGTGAGTTAGCAATTTTTACTCAATCTGACAAACTTTAAAATGTAAAATAAAATGACTTTTAAGAATTTAATATTTGAAGTTGCTGAATTTCCCGGGATGTCGGTGCCGTTTGTTTGCCTCTCTAATGCGAACTACATACCTTCAGTCAGTGCATGGTTGCGTCTTGCTGTTTATTAAAAAATAGATTAGATACTCTCTATATAAAGTATTCTGAATTCCAAGGCACAATTTTTAAAGGATAAATGCTTTTTATGTTGCATCAGCGAAGTTTGTAATTGTTCCCAATTTTTATTAGAGATTTATTAGATCTTAAGAAAGATCTGACACGTGGCCTTCCTTGACCGCTGTCAATGAAGCTGTTCTGTGTGGCCTCTCTGGCCTGTTGCTCTCTTGGGATTTAGCGTTAGGTTAATCCGCTCAAAGGAAGGTGAGCACTCGCATGTGGACCTGCGATTACACACAGAGGACTCCTGGCATCCAAGCTCTGTAATCTTAGAGACCCTTAACACACAGACACATGTCTGCAGCGAACAACACACACACAAGTGCAAAGGCGAAACCAGGTTCCCTCTCTGTCCTTCCCTTAAACACACATAGACACAAACAGGCGCACTCACCCTTTTTTGCATCTGAGCATGCACTGACACCCACACTATCTGGCCCCCGCTGCAGTTGCTTCTCCTGTTTTGCCTAAGTCCTACCACCTCTTGACAAATCATTTGGGATTTTGGACACCGATTCACAAAACCAACAATGACAACACACTCTTACCCTTCTCACAGAGGAGGATTAGAAGGTCACGTGTCCCTCTGATTGGCCAGGGCATTGAGCCGATTGTCAGGGCACTTTGCTGTACACCAGGGGCTCAGCAGAGCTTAGTTAAGTGAGGGGAAAGGACACTGTATTCCATGCTCGAGGGTTTTGTGAGGTTTTGCCATGTGTCTTAATAGAACTTAGGCAAAGTCTGCAATAAATCAACAGATCTTAAGTCAATTTATCCAATTTGTTAGCCCTAAATGTAAAATATCAAGAGAAATTAAACTTCTGAAAGCTGTGAAATGTTTGCCATCTTTAGCAGAAGTACTACTGTTTATGCTGCTCTGAGCAGAGATATTCAATATGACACAAAAGGCTCAGTTCAGATTCCCTCATCATGGAAAACCAGATTTGTGAAAACATTCTTAATGAAAACATCAAATGTATTTATGTTAAAGCAAATAGTTTAATAGCCCCTTTTTGCTATGCTTTTAAGTTTTTTTTTTTTTTCCAGTAATGGTTTCAAATATTTTGGAAGGAGTTTGCACAGTTTGCACAGTTAAACATTCATTTGCAGATTGCCGGCTGGCAAGATCTAGAGGCAGATATTGAGGAGCTGTAATTGGACTTCATGCCCTTTGGCTCAAATGAAAAGGTAATATAAGAGTCAATTGTGGAGAATTCTATTTACTTTGGATCATGAGAAAAATATCTTCAAACAACTGAAAATCGTCTTTGTGTACTTTATCTCTTTATCTTTCTCCATAGATAGATAGATAGATAGATAGATAGATAGATAGATAGATAGATAGATAGATAGATAGATAGATAGATAGATAGATAGATTAATGTTATTTTGTATGTGAAACACTGTAATTTATTCAAAGTTTATTTTTCATGAGGTTTATTTTTCACGAAGGTTTATTTCTTCTGCATATCTATTTGTGAGCAGAAGAATGTTAATGTCTTATACCTCAAATATTTGCGTCTTGTTTTTTTTCCTCCTCTTTAATTTCTTAAGAAATTTATCTTCTTCTATTTGATTTATTAACTTTTTTTTGCACAGAAAAGAACAGAAAAGTTTAGGGCACCACTTAAGTTTGTATTATTAAGTATTAAGTATTTTTTTTTTTGTCATTTTCAAACTACTTTTCTTCCGTTGTCCCAACTGGGGTGCTTGTTGCAATTCTTTCTTTAAACGGATCTTTGCCTTACAGTCGTCATATCTTCCTAGGAGTTTGAAATCACTTCACACAAAAAAAAATAACTTACAAAAAGTGTCAGTAATATAAACAAGTCAGTCCTTGGATGTGTTGAATGCATACATTTGAATATGTCCTGGTTTTTGCATAATAATGCAAAGCATTCTTCTGTCTCTATCTAGTAATTAGCAGTGACGTTCTCCAACTTTCTCTGTATGTTGTAAGCGGATGGATGGGGTGGGGATATGGGGGGGTGTTCGCTGGGGTGTTAAAGATCACAGAGGAATATATCAGCCTTTGATGTTTAATTGTATTGTAAAACACACTTTAGAATATTTCTGCATAAAGTAGACTTCTAGCTGTGCTGTGCTTTGTGGTTGCTGTTCTGCGTTTTGTGTGTTTGTCTGTCTCTATGTTTATATGTGTGTCTGCGCCAGCCCGTGTTCGACTCTGCACCTTGTCTCAGTACGTTTGTGTATCACAATGTTTGTGCTTTTTCTGTCTTAGTTTTGTGAGGTTGTTGGTGTATATTCAAATCAAAATCCTGTTGTTGTTGTTTTTTCCTTCTCTCCTTTCTTCTTATGCTGAACAGAAAATGATTTGATGTCTGGGATGATGGAGCAGTCTGGAAAACGGTGTCAATGCAAGGCCCTGATAAGGCAGACTGAGAAGACTGATGCTGATGAAAAGAGACAAACAGAGACGTTTGAGGATAGTTAGGAACTGAGCGACAAAAGTCTCAGCCTCCGTTCAGGTGCACCTCTTGAAAGAGTGATGATTTCATGATGTCATCCTTAGCACCCTGATGAACAGGATGTCCTGCCTTCTTCATCCTGTTTCCTGTTTCCTGCCTGCACCGTTGGTCATTATTACAGCAGCTGCCTGCTGGGTGGTCTGTGCTCGGCAGTGCTGACCACACAATCATATCGTCAGCTGCAGCCCACCTAACGAGAAGCTCGAGACACCTCACCATACTTGAGGCCAGCTCTCTGAAATATTTGGACAGTGAGAATCTTGGGAGGCAAAAAGTCTGGGGGAGTGAATGATAAGTTAAGGAGAAATATTTAGAGTGGAGTAGCGGTAGGGTTTCTTTGTCTAAACACATCGAAATGAAAGCCTCTATCAATATTCAATTGATAAAGTAAAAAATAAATAAGAATGGAAGTGTTTATAAAGTAGTTCATATGGTTCCTAAGCTCTGGAATTCAAGTTTTTTTTGTTAGGAACAAATTTTAACAAAGAAACTGATAAGACTATTTCAACCTGATATCAGTTTGTAATAGTTTTCTTTGAGCTCTGACAAGCCAATTCTTGTATTTATTTATTTTTTAAGGATTATAAGGCATTTAGGAGAAACCTAAATTTTGTTTTTATAAATGTAATAATAATTTCAACAAGTAGTGAAGACACTACCCTGTTCAAATCAACGTATTAAAGTCGTAAAGCATATTTCCCTATATACACACACACACATATATATATAAAACAATGTGTTAAAATAAATTAACATTACTTTGTATAAAATATAAAAAAATAACTAATACGTTTTGTCTTTTTTTAAGTTAGGAAAAACAACAATACTTACCTCTTGGGTTTAAAGCAGTGATCTGTTGCATTTTGTCTTTTTTTTTTTTTTTGTCAGAAAACAATGTGAGACAAACAAATTAATCTCTCTTAAAAGAGAGGAAAAAGTAGCCAGCTGACATCCTGTGCACAGCAGCAGATTGCGGAAGGCCAGAGCTGTACGCACTGGAAATTTAGTAAGCAGCATTAAAGAGTTAATATTAGTGGGGGGTGGTTTCTTTGACTAATCC